GTAGATTGATCTGAAGATACTGAACCTCGAGATGAGTCTCTGGGTGGTCCAGCCGCTCTTCTGCTTGATGATCCTGTAGCCGAAGACATCCTCGGAGGTATGTTAGAGTCGGTGGTAGATTGTCCTTTGCTTCCCCTATCATTTGCCACACCCGACTCCCCTTGAAAATTATTTTCCAACCCTTGATTCAGTAATGTAGTCAACCCAGTACTATTACTCGCAATGCTACTGAGGCTCCCATTTCTCGGTATGGTTTCTCCATTTTGTGATGCGCTATCTCGCCCTTGTTTTTGCCGCAGTTTTTGTTGCTTCCGCTTTAAACCATGCAGGAGAGTAATGATTATATCTCTAATTCGAGGCAGGTATTTCTCCAAGCTCTCGACACTTGCTTCTTGACTGAGCGTTGATTCGAGTATATGTCGGAGCAACTCTGGTACATTCCCCAAATCCGAAGTATCAACATTTATTGCTGTAAATGCCCTGCACGCAATATTGAACTCATATCCCAAGCGCACATAAACATCCGAAACTTGTGCGTCTGTCGCTTGATGTCGAGACCATTGTGTGAGGGTTTCGAGAAGTTGTTTCGTGGCGACCAGAAGATGTGTTACGCTCTTTTCGATCTGAGATAATGGTGGGGGGTTTTGACCACTTTGACTACTGCTGCTTGTCGGAGGTTGACCACCCTATTCCAAAATCAACACATTAGCATGCATTCTCATGGACGAGATCGTTGTCGCCAAGGCGAATCAATTACATCAAGGGGAACCAATCACTTACATTTTGTCTTCTCCCGGAGTGATTGCTTTGAACAGACTTGGTCGAAGCCGTTGAATTCCTTGGCTGGGGACCCAAACTTGGAGATATAGCCCTGGCGGATATGGTCGGAGGGGGACCAGGGGAATCCGATGCTGGAGATCGTCTTTGAACGGGTCGTTGAGGTGCTTGCATTTCTGCGACCAATCTAATTATTGATATCCTATGGGAAGTCGAAAGGAGGATTCAGCAAAGAGTCAGCGCGCCATGCACCAAAGTATCCTATGATAACCCGAGTTATTTGGCAAATCAATGCAATTCGATGCGCTCCGATGATGAGAGGGTTAGGAAAGAAATTTGCGGCAAATGAATGTGAATCCTTCGTGGTTGTCGTAAAAGTTGTTCAAGTAGATGGGTATCAATTCGAATGGATTCAATTCAATTCAATCAATCTACACGGCAGGTGAGTGCCTCATGCAAGTGTGCCAGATCACGCTAGTTTAGCCGAAAAGGTTTACTCAGGTGGTGAAACCTTTCTGACTGGGGAACGTTTATAAGAGGGTAGGTCCGAGCTTTGGGGAGAGATTTACAGTGGAATCACATGTTTAAGGGTAGATTGAGGGAGAGGAGAGGGTGAATGAATAACGTGAGTGCAGTGGGACTAGGACAAAAGGAGATTAGTGAGATAGGCAGGGCATGAAGTAAAAATAAGATACTACTCGTACTAGGGAGGTAGTGCAGTGCGTTGATATTAACATTTGATCACTTTGGTGGATTAGGTAAGATGCGAAAGATGCACGACTGGAGTTGTCTAATGTAGAACAACTTCGAACCACTTGACGGTGCTTGTCGTTCACAGACACTTGGGCATTCAGACATCAAATGAATCATTTTAAATAAGTCCAGTTTGGATTTCCATTTTCAGACATCCAAATGACAAGGACTATCCCTGCCGTTCCAATTTTGGGTTCACTCTGCTCCCGTACGAAAGCATTTTATATTAACAGACCAACCTCTTTATTTTAACAACAACCTTGGAATGGTGAGATGGGTGAAGGTAATCTCACCAAGAAAGTCTTTCCTGACAAATGCAGGCGTCCTTCGTATACTTCAGATATAGACGAAGCACTAGAAGAGAGTTAGAAGAGAGTTAGAACGCAAGTCAGAGTTATACATACCTAGTATCCCTAGTAGCTTCTAGAAGTCAAACAAGGCGAAACAAGCTCTTAAAGGGGACCGCGATCACATTACTTGGTCTCCATGTGGATGAAAGAAGTAGAGCTACACCAGCATTTTAAGTTATCCTCAAGCCCAATTGACATTAGAGAGATCCATCGGCCTCGTTAAAGTTTCTTGCTACATGAACCCTCCATCAACCATGACAACTTCAAATTACTTCTCGAAATCAATCATCGAGAGAAAGCATTCCAGACTCAAGTCTACCGCTTGAAGCTTATCAAGCACCGGTACTTTACTGCCTATTATATCATACTAAACACGTATAATCTAGAGCGATACCCACAACCAAGGTATCAGGTATATCACAGGTGTCAGATGGCACTGCGCTCGAGGTACAACTCGGGTATTTTCATACCGCGCGGCAGTGACCAATATTCAACAAATTCAATCCCGTCCAGGCCGCATTCCGAGGCCGTGGGGACATGCAAGCCTTGTTCCTCTTCCTCTGATTGGTTGTTAACTCGACCCCCGTGCAGATGAAGATATCCGAGAGAAAGAAAAGGTACAGCAGACAAACATACATCAGAATGACCTAGGAATCCTCAACAATTTTGTATAGGATTTGTTGATCGTGAAGAATGAATGAGTTGGATGAAAACCAAAGCTTTCTCTATCTATGAGATACTCGACGATGTCCTCACCTCTAGATCATCACATACGTCACGTATTTCCATTCTTTCCATACGAGGTCCCTACCTACCTACGCGACGTCATCCATGATATTTGTAACGTGGCCGAGTACCAACGCGAGAGGATATAAGTTATAAGATGCCACAAAAAGTCCGGTCGTACTTGAATCTTCCATGCAAGTGTCCAATCCATGTAGGGATTCGAAGCTCAGGCCTGTGTTACCAGACATTGAAATATGCCTAGCTCGCCTAGTACCTTATGAAAGCGCTCGGGACCTTGAAGAAGAGGATTGAAAAGCATCTTAAGATTTGGATCGTCTGGGCTAGGTAAGATCAGGCCATTTCGTAATGGAGGAAGCGCTTTCGAATCTTTGTTAGAAGAATGAGAATCCTGTGATTGATGACCTGGTAATTGCCTAGGTAACCAGGCTATTGTCTATGGTTTGAGTTGGATTTACTAAATCATTGTAGAGTATCTGATGAATCTAAGATTATATATTGAAGCGTGATATTTTAGACCATTCTAGGTAGATATTCAATAATTGATTATTCATAGGAATATATACGAACGTCTATATTCTATATAATGCCTGACTACCTACTATGTAAATCCCCTTGAAATAAATATAAAACATCTGTGGTCTATCATCCATCATCCATCATCCATCATTCATCATTCATCATCCATCATCCATCATCACACTCATCAACTTATACCTACCTACTAGGTATGCAAGTAAGCCTGCGCACCAAGGAAGATTATTGTGCAATTGTTACCGCACGCACATCTCATACCAAGGTCAAAGGATGCCCCGGTGTTCGCATATGTGACCCGAGCGACCCAAATGGACCTTTCTATCCCCCTTGTTGAATGAAAATATTGGAATCGCATCTCTGCATTTGCGATCCTCAGCCTATCTGAGAAGCCTTTACGAGTATCTCTCAGTGTGGTCTTGACTATCTAGATACCTAGTACTCTCCATCATGCATTATTTCTTTTTTCCTTTTCATGTGCAGAATGAAAATAAAACCAAGCCCCTTTTTCCTGACAGTCCACCCTCCCGAATTCCACACTTCTTTTATTACTGACTGTATCTCAATCTGATTTCCCCAGTTATGATGTGACTAAACGTTTCATTATGTGGTTATGATGATGATATCTACAAGGCACACACACACACACACACACACACACACACACACCATTTACATCCCATCAAACCCCCATTCGGATTAATGCTCCCGTCTATCGACACTAGGATATGAACTCTACCGGATCCCCGAGATATTAATAACATGGAAAGGGAAGAAGGCTGGACGGTTGACTGTGAAATGGATTTGGGGTCGTGGTCCAGCGAAGTTCCTTGTAGTATGGTCATCGTAGCAGAGAGAATCGTGGAGTAGAGACAAGAGCTCTTGAATGGCTCGATGGATAGGTCCCCCAGTAGCTAGTAAATCAATAACCGTGGATTCTGCCTCGAGGGAAGGAAAAGAGTGGATGGGGCTCGGATGGTGTTGACCTCGAGCTTTTAATATTTAATACAGTGGTCGATTTGGGGCGTGGTGGACTGGTACGGCTGTCAGATTAATCATATCAGTCATATCAGTCATACCAATCATATCATATCGTATCATGGATTAATCAATCTTCACTTATGATCACCCTTTGCAAACTTCATCCTCGACGTTGAAACTTTGACTTCTTTTTCTTTTGGACTTCTCTTCCTGGGTAGTTTACTAGGTACCTTTTTCTTCCTATCCTACTTCTTCTCCTTCTGGCTATATTTAGTAGTCTCTTCAATCAGGAAATACTTTATGAATGATAAAAGTTCGATTAATTGCTAGCTAGTACCGTCAACAAAGATTCGATATATCAAGAAACGTCACCCAAGTCATCCATCCATTGATCCACCGTACAATCAAATATCTCTACGAACACTGGAGCAAACCTCCCTTGGTTCAACAGACAATAGGAAAGAAATCGAAAAAATTACTTCTTTCTCTCTTTACTAATCCGTTTATTTATCTCGAGATAGAAATCTTACCCAATTCTTGATTCCAACTACATTCTTCTCCTACCGTAGAACTAGGTACTTATTGCGTATTCTAGATTTATTAATGTTATGAGTCTACGAGTAGGTATTGAGAAATACATTCTACTTATTATTGTCTTTTGAATCTACCTCTACCTACTACCTACACACCCGTTTCTTGATAAAACCAAGCCAAAATACCCCATTCGCTTGAGGACATCATTTCATCACCCAACTTTCACTACCGAGTAACCACAACTTGACTACTTACACTCCCTCTCCTCCACCCGAACCACCCCCTTCAGAAATTCTGATGGACATTTCCCCTCTTCTGAAGGATCCAGAATAATAACCACCACCACCACCACCAATTCCACCAATTCCCCCTCCCAACACTCATAACTTTCAATGATTGTTTGATCTGTTACGATATACTGTAACCATCTTCACTCATCACGAAAGGGAGAGCAGTGGAGGTCTTTTTGATTTTTTCATTCGATTCATCTTCTTCTCTTCTCATCATAATTCTTTTTCCTATCCGAGGTGAGACAAGATGGTTCTTTAAATTCTACACATACTCCGTACATACATACATACATACATACTCACACACACGCACACACTTATCAAAAAGTTATGATTATTATTATGATTATTATACACTTTTACAACAACCCCAGCCTTTCTTTTTGACACGATTGATTAAGCTTGGAGCTTTCGCAATCAACTCAAACAACCACATCACAATTTCACTTCTTTAGTTACAGCAATTGTGCATGACATTGCATGTATGCTAACCACATTCCTTTTCCATTAGAATTTTATCTTTCGACTTGGGACCAGTTCCAGATTGAACCCCAGATTATTCGCGAATCCTCCAGCCTTGACACCACGCACACATATTGGGCGCGATTCGAGAAGATCAAAGGAAGGGTGTGTTTTGGAGATTTCCATTTTGTGTGGTATGTATTGCGGCTTTTCCCCTCCATCTCCCTCCCCCAGCTCTGATGACTCTCTCACTCCCTCTGTCATCGATTGCATTGCATGCATAGTTGATGAAGTGCTTTGCGCATTTCTTGTGCGTTGTGTAACCCAAAGCCGAATCACACTCACCTTACCTACTTACTTCCCTACTTCCCTACCTACCTACCTACCTACCTGCAACATTCACCTTCGAATCTTATGATTCACATGGATTGGCTTACTAATTTATTTCCTCTCCAGATATCTCTTCCAATAGATCATACACATACCACGACAAAATTCAAGAGAATTGACTTACATCGGACCATCAGTTCTTGAATATGGTACAACAAGGAAAAAAGGGCAACGACCTTCCCAACGGCGGCACAAAGTACAGAGAACAATCAGGAAACATGACGTCGCAAAGAAAAGATATGGGAGACGCTCGAGGAAATGGTAATGGAAAGGTTGATGGCAGGTCGCAAAATGGTTGGTCCTTTCTACGTTGTGTCAATGACATCACAAATGCTAACCTTGCTCAGGTAACTCGAGCTTTTTCCGTACAGACACTGCGATTTCGGGCAACCGAAACCAAGGAGAGCGTGTATTACAAAGATGGGTTCCTGACAAGCCCGCCGATAATGATGGTGGCTTGGAATCGGGTCGAGGAGGAAGAGTAGCTCCTTGGGATCAATTCGCAGAGAATGAGCGACGATTTGGCTTGAAGACAGACTACGATGAGAACATCTACACAACCCAGATCAACACAAGCCATCCGCAATATTCGCAGCGAGTCGCCGAGGCAGATCGAAAGGCGAGAGAAATTGAACGCAGCACGGCAATGAACTCTCATGTCGCAGAAGAACGTATTGCGGACCACACTGGACCAAATGAGAATGGACTTGATGAAGAAGACAAGTGAGTTTCTTGGATTCTATCCCTTGCATGTAATTGCTAACATATGGGCAGATACAGTGGCGTTCGCAGACAACAGGATTTCCCACCCCTCACCGCATCAAAGGGTGCATATCAACCACCTGGAAAGCGTGCTCCAGTTGACCGCGCACCCGCAGCTGCTCCCGTTGTTGCTCCCGTTGCTGCTCCAGTTCCTGCCCCAGTCACTGCCCCAGTTGCTGCTCCGGCAGATCGTACTCTTGTCGACTCAGCCATCATGTTTGCAGGAGCTAAGGCCGATAAACCCGCCGATAAACCCGCCGACAAGGCAAAACCAGCTACAGCCGCGAAGTCAACAAAGCCAGAGGTCGCAACTCCACCTGCTACCACTGATTCAAGTACCACTCCCACTCCAGAGGTCAAAAAGACTGTGGCTCCTTCTGCAAGCCGCACAATTCCTCCACCAGTCAAACATCTGGGTGGGCCAAATGCTACTGCAACTGTCGAGGCTGATGTTTCCAAGGCTTTCAAGACCTTTGCTGCAACTCAAAGAAACAATGTTTCACAAATTCGCGCCAACAAGATCAAGAATGATAAGCAAATCAAATTAAATGACCTCAAGAGATTTGCCAATGATTTCAAGTTGCATACTCCAGTTCCATCGGATCTTGTCCCCATCATTGCCAAGGATCCAGCAAAGCAAAAGGCGATCCAAGAGAAAGCACAACGCAATGCTGAAGAAGCAAAGCTCAATCCTACTGATTCGGCAAAGCCAATTACCCCAGGGGCAGACGGAGTTTCTGCACAACGTTCCGCTACTACAACCTCTACTCATACTATATCGCCACCGCCCGTTACATCTGGTCGCCAAAACGTTAATCGTGGACCTTATCCTCAAGGTACCCACAGTTTCACACAAAATTCTCGCAGTGACAGACCTGTTCAAGCACAGCAGACCATGCCCCGAAGTGGCACCGCCGGACACTTGGCCCAGCGATTGAGAAATATCGAACAAAATAGACCAGCTCAAGTTCCATCCAATGTCATGCCAGCCCATGAAGCCAGACTTCCTCCTACTGGTCCTTCGAACGCTGCCGATTCAAATTTCTCCCGTCGTTCGAGTGGCGTGGCGAGTGCGCAAGGTGGCCCAAGATTGAATGCTAGCGTCAGCGAATTCCGGCCCAATGCATTCGCAAAAGACTTTAGCCCCGCTGGTCCAAGCAGTGGCTCAAGTCCTCGTTCAGCAGCCAATGCTCCAGAGGCTTCAACAACACCAGTCGCACGTTCCTTGATTCGCCGCAAGCCAATGGCTAAGAGCGCTCGTCCTTCACTTCAAGGCAAATATGATGCAATGGAGCTCATCAAGACTCTTAAGCCAGGAGAGGGGAAGAATTGGCTAGCAAATGGTGGTTTGAAGCCAGCTTATGACACTCATTTGCTCTGGAAACTTACTGCTGGTGATGCACCAACGGAGTCTTATATACAAGTCTTTGAAAAGGCACCATTCCCTACTACCACACCCGTTGTATCGGAGCCTCACCCACCACAAGCAGCTCCACAAGTACCACACCAACATCAATTGCCATTCCATCTTCAATCTGGCGTTCACAACATCAATGCTAGACAATCCCCGCGTCAACCGCCTATCAACATGCATGGAGCTCAGATGGGTCATCCTGCCCCAACATTCAATGCTGATGAATTGCGTATGATGCCATCGCATTCTGCACAATCCTTTTCATCACCAAGAATGCAACAGCTTCCAATGGCAGCCTTCCATTCTCCCATGGGGGGAAATGCTCAATTGGCTTACAACCCACAGATGGTCTCTTACCCTGGTGCACCTCAAATGCCACCATTCAGATCCCTTTCGCAAACTCATCAATTTATGCCACAACAAGGTCATATGGGTCAACCAATTATGATGGCTAACCCTGCAGGTGGATTCATTCCTCCACAATCAATGGGACCTGGTCCACAAATGATGTATCCACCCGCACAAGGTCAATTCATGCCACCAAATAATGGACATCCTCCAGCTATGCCAAATGGCGGTTATCCAAGTCCGGGCCGAGGTGCTCCAATGATGATGAATCAAGGTTCGCAACAAGGTCACCCACAACCTATGTATGGTATGAGCCCAGTCCCTCAATATGGAACACCCGTTTTCCCGCAACCAATCCCAAATCAAAGTAAGTTTAGAAGTTCAAGAAATTTTTGCCGTAGGTTCTAATATATCAATAGTGCCAATGCGAGGTGGTGCTTATGGAGCACCAAACCAATACGCTACAAGCCCTCAGAATATTCAAGGCGGTCCAAGAAATCAGTATAACCCAGATTTCAATGGCAACAAACAAAATTTCCGACACAACCAACACCCACATGGCCCACCCAACAACCAAGTCCCTACTGGCCCTCAAGCTCAAACTAATCCTGGGGCTGATGAGAGTAAATGAGCGAAGATGCTCTGACTTTGGAAAATATATTCATCACGTCGATGCTTTAGCATCATGCATTTTGACAATATGGAGGAGAACAGCATCAAGTCTATGATCTTTATTTGTCGCATCTTTATAGTGATTGCATCAGTATAGTTCATTAGACCTTATTTGGATCATTGGCATCAATAATCCAAAGATCAGGGCAGTTGGATCCATCCCACCGGTTTGATCTCAAATCAATGGTGGTATTCATTGGTACAAAGTTATTTTTTTGCTTAGCTGTGTAGTATGGAGAATTATATACTGCCTTTGAGATGTATATCTGATGATTGTATCAGAAGATTTGACCAAATTGATGGATTCGACTGCTATTAAGTTTATTGGACAACTCACAATCCAACTGTACAGTGGGGTGGAAGGAAGGGAACCATCTGCATGGAATGTTTTTATCTTCAAAGAAATAATCATTCATTAAGCATTTGGTGAGCTGGCCAGAATAGCAGATGCGATGCAGGATTCCATCTTATGAGAGATGGCTTGATGAAAATGTACACATTGAGATATGATGGAAGGAATGAATGAATTATAAAGAATTTTTTTTTGCTGATGGGGTAGTGGATTATACTTTTCTACTGCTATTGTGGTTATGTATCTTACATAGCTTTAGATTTATATACATAAACACCATTCCATCACCATTTTTTTTTAGGTTTTGATATGATGTAAGGCGATGTGAGATGATGTGAGGCGATGTACTGAGTTTAATAATCTTTATTTTGGATTTTATTTAAGCATGATCTTAATTAGTAACTCCTTGAATAGAGCACGCACTCCTTTAATCTGATTTATTAAATAATAGTATACCTATACGTATACATGGAACTGAACTGGTTAATAAGATGTAAATAAGATGTAAATAAGTAAGTAAGTAAATAAATAAATAAATAAATAAATAAATAAATAAATAAATAAATAAATAAATAAATAAATAAATAAATAAATAAATAAATAAATAAATAAATAAATAAATAAATAAATAAATAAATAAATAAATAAATAAATAAATAAATAAATAAATAAATAAATAAATAAATAAATAAATAAATAAATAAATAAATAAATAAATAAATAATAAATAAATAAATAAATAAATAAATAAATAAATAAATAAATAAATAAATAAATAAATAAATAAATAAATAAATAAATAAATAAATAAATAAATAAGTAATCATTAGTTTTCAAGTTATTAGTTTTCGAATCATTCATTTTTACTTCGTTAGCTTCTAAATCATAAACTTCCAAATCATGAGCTTTCAAATCATTAACTTCTAAATCATGAGCTTTCAAATCATTAGTATTCGGATCATCGGCTTCTAAATCATTAACTTCTAAATCATTAACTTCCGCCTCAACTTCAACCCCCCGAATCAGACTCCGACTCATACCTCAAACCTCCGACTTCGACTCCAACTTCAAACCCCCGACTTGGAATCAGACTCAGACTCGGAATCAGACTTGGAATCAGACTTGGAATCAGACTCGGAATTAGACTTGGAATTAGACTTGGAATCAGACTTGGAATCAGACTCGGAATCAGACTCGGAATCAGACTCGGAATCAGACTCGGAATCAGACTCGGAATCAGACTCGGAATCAGACTCGGAATCAGAATCAAACCTCAGACTCAGACTTCGACTCCAACTTCAAACTCCCAACTCAAACCTCAGATTCAGAATCAGAATTAATAGGGGGATCGAGACCCGCCGCTTCTTCGCTCGGTAGCTGACGCGGAAACCAGCCGTAGGTGGGGAGGGAGATGTGGTGGGTGTTTACTATTTTAGTTAGTTGGATGAGGATGGGGATGTGGGGGGAGAAAGGAGGGAAATAAATACATACGAGAATCAACCGTTACTTCGATACCTTCGCTGCGTAGAATGGCGGCTTGGGTTTGTAAGCCAGAGGGGTGGGATCTTTGGGGAGGGGGGTTAGTTTGATTTTGGGGGGATGGGGAGGGGGGAAGGAGGGGGGTTGGAAGGAGGAGGGGTATGAGGGAGATGGGGGAGATGAGGGATGATGATATGTGGAGATAACAAGAAAAAGGGAATAGTTTGAGGAAATAGTTTGAGGAAATAGTTTGAGGAAATAGTTTGAGGAAATAGTTTGAGAAAATAATTTGAGGGAATAATTTGAGAAAATAGTGAATGATAATGATGCATAATGATGAGGGAGAAGCGAGAGAAGAGAAAAGAGATAAAATACATACCGTGGACTTATCCCCCCTTTTGCATTAATCACTCGTTGCCAGGGTACATTTCCGTTGTGGAAGAGGTGAGTGGATGTAGAGGGAGAAGTGGATGTAGAGGGAGAAGTAGAGGGGGGTGTGGTGGAGGAGGGGGCGCTGGGAAGATGCTTAAGACAAATTCCTACTTGGCGGGGGCGGTTGGCTGGATGGGGGAGAGGGGTTAGGTGTTTGTATGTTTATGAGGTTTGGGGAAGTGTGAAAGGAAGAGGGAGGAAGAGGGAGGAAGAGGGAGGAAGAGGGAGGAAGAGGGAGGAAGAGGAATAAAAAGGAAATAAGGGAGGGAAAAAAACAAAGATAAAAAAAGAGGAACAACTCACGCGTCCCAATCAACCGCGCAATATGTCCATATGTCGTTACTTTTCCATATGGAATTTCTTGGATGGCGCTGTAGACGGAGTAGTAGAAGGTGGTTGCTTCGTCGGTGCGGGGCATAGTTGGGGTTAGGTGAATGGTTGTTGTGTGGTGTGGTGTTGTTTCTCTGTATCTGGGATTTTTATAAGGGAGGAGGGAGGGAGGCGGGGGGGGGTTGAATTGTGTGGGTGTGGATATGAAATCAGTCTTTTGATTAATATGTGATTGATGAAATGAAGGGTTTGTGTTATTGGTGTTATTGATATGAATTATAGAGTATAAAAATTAAAGTTTAAAGTTTGAAGTATATAGGGCGCAGGGCGCAGCTCACCGGAAGGAAGCGGGAATTAATAAGTAGATGAATTGATTCTTTAATATAGGTATATTTGAGAATAAGAGTACTATCTAGTAATAATCTCTTGCTATTTAAGAGGAATAGAGTTTATAGTTTATAGATTATGATTATAATTTGATTTAAGAGTTTGAAGTTTGATTCTCTTTGATTTTTATATTAATATATCTAGGTATATATTATACTACTATAATATAAACCTCTTTCTAAAGACGAATTTCTTTAATTTTCGAAATTGTTGAAATTACTAGCTAAGCAAAAATTGATTAAAAAATATCGAGAATCTCTTAGTGAAAAGTAGAGTATATATTCTATCTCTTCTCAAAAGTACTTTTAATATTTTTTTTAAAAGACCTCTTCTTATATTTTAAAAGAGACATTTACTTATATTTAATAAATTCTAATTCTGATTTTAATAACGAAGAACGTTTAGTTTATATATGCCTCAGGCATTTTTACATTTGCTTACAAATGCCGGTAAACTCATAACAACATCAAGGGAAAGCAAATGCGGGGTTACTTACTCGTATATTGTATATTTTTAGAATCGACAGCAAACTAATCACAATACAACACAACATCATTCAACTATCCACGGATCAACTAACAAGTATTTATACACACAAATTTGCAAGTTTTCTCCTGGAAAACTTCTCTCACGATCACCTATTATGTTTCTCCCAGAATGGATGTTCCATCGTGCTCATCATGTGAAATGGTAACTCTGCCATATCTGGAACCCTGTGAACCTTCTATCCTTCAAAAATTTCGTGAGAAGTTCTTCCATGAACCATGCGCAGCATGCGACGCTGAAGAAGACCAGACTCTTCAGATTTGTGAAGTTTGCAGGCATCTTCGTCTACAACATTTGATTTCTTGTAGTCAATCTTGGTTTGCGAGCGAAGATCGCAGTCAAGTCACCAAAGCTCTAGAGTACATTCAACATGCAGGGAAGAAATTATATGGACATTGGTTGGGGAGCGATGATAGGGGTCGATTCCCCGAAACCACAGATAATATTCAGCAGGTGGTGAGGAAAGTGCATGAGGAACGACGGTCGTCGAATATCGCGATCGGAATCGAATTAGGCACGTTTAATGAACTGAAAGGTCGGTCAAGCTGTAAGCTTTGCTCTGAAATTATGGCATTGATTGTTTTTTGACGGAAAAATAAAAAATTTACCGAATATTTTTCAGACGATTATGTTGTCGCCACCACCAAAATTGCACGGAGAAAGAATTTTTCTATCGATGTGATGCTTAAAGAAGGCAATCAAGTCAAAATCCACTCGACAATCAGATTTACATTATCCCCATTGTTCCATGCAAGGCAAACAGACCTTGTCAGATCTATGTCCCGGGAGCCGATTAATTGGGATCAAATCGAGGAGTGGATCAAAGATCACCGAAGAAGGCACGACCTCAAACCTAAAGTCTCCCTCGTTCTTCCGAAACAGTTTCGTGTTATAGATGTTGAAAGAGACAAGGTGATTTTAGCACCTGATCACTGTGAGTTTGTCGCGCTGAGTTATGTATGGGGTGAGACAACCAGCGACCTGATGCTGTGTACCAGCAACGTTCAGCAGCTTGCCGAAGATTTTTCTATTTCTAGAATGGATATTCCAGCAACTATCAAAGATGCCATGATAGCCTGTGAAATGATTGGCAAAAGATATCTTTGGGTCGATCGCCTCTGTATTGTGCAGAATGAGAGTGATGATATCAAACTGGCTCAGATAGAGAGAATGGGTGATGTCTACTCATCTGCATTCTTGACCATAGTAGGAGCGTGTGGGAACGACGCAAGAAGTGGCCTAGCAGGGATTGATGGCAAGCCCCGGACTAGAGCACCCTGGGTCATCTCTTTGAACAAAACGATTTTAGTAGAAGATGTGGATCATCCATTATATACAGTCGGAAATTCCAAAATGGCACACCAGAGGGTGGACTTTCCAAGAGCTTGTTCTCAGCTCTAGATTGCTTATATTCACAGACTTCGGAGTATATTACATGTGCAACCCAAAAGACAGATTCAACGGTGGAGATTTAAGTGCTTTTGAATTTCTACATAACACGTTTTGGAGTCTGAAACTATACGTCTTTGAAGCCGACAATATATGTGCTGTAATAGAACAATATTCAGAACGGCACTTGACCTATGATGCAGATAGAATTCGAGCGTTCTCAGGAATTTTCAATCATCTTGGAATTCTGCATCAATCAGGAATGTCTTGGAAGGACTTCGATGACAATCTTTTTTGGCGGCCGAATTGGTGGGAGCAAGCTGGTGGAACTCTCGGTTCTAGTGAAACTGCATTATTCCCAACTTGGTCATGGAGTTCAGTCGCCGGATCTGTTAGATTTGATAGATATCATCATCATGTGCCGGTAACAACTTGGGCTCATTTCTCACCTGAAGAGGGCAATTTTGACGTGTTGATTCCACCTGAAATGGAACGCTACGGATGGCATCAATTAGCTCATAAAGAAAGGTTCTACAATCTTGAGCACTGGATCGATCTTCGTGATTGTAAGTGCAAAGGCATGAATCAGGAATGTTGCGAGGACTGCTGCCTTGATAGTCACACTCGTGTAAGAATGAACATGCAGAGAAGAACATCGAATTTTCTCAAAAAATTCTCCGATGAAGATACCAATGCTGCTCTTGCACCTGGACGTTTGTTGCTATTGACCCAAACTGCTAGGTTACGCTTAGAATATTATGGCACATTTTCTTTCGAGCATGGAATCTCACAAACCGAGTTCTCTCTATGGAATGAAGATGAACAATGAACTGGGATAATTCAGCTCTCGAAATATGACGCGGAATCGATCATGCAGATGTGTAAGGTGGCAACAAGGTGTTCTTTGACTTTGCTGCTATTCCCATTTCCTATATATGGGATGGTTCGAGCCCGCTTCACAAATTTTTTGACAATACAAAAGCGAGTGGGTTTTTTTATCAAGCGCCTTTTACCCGAGGAGACGAAGTAAAGTTGTTCCCCGAGTCGAAGGAGAAATTCTTCCAAGAAGTAAGATATAAAGGTTATTATAAGCCAAGTCCCGACTCCATAGTTGACGAACTACCGGTTTTGAATGTGATGCTAATACGTTGGCGTGGAAAGGTAGCTCAGAGAGTTGGTCTTGGGCAAGTTTGGGTGAGGAGATGGGCTCAATCAAACCCGAAAATTAGTCCTATAGTTTTAGAATAAGATGTTCTCGAATATAATAGATTTTATTGACTCGTGAAAAGTTCAAGTAATTAGAGTAGACGATATATTTCTTCTATTATTTGAAAGAGTATGAATTAAGATTAAATCTAATTTTAGAATAAATGTTAGAATTCTCGTAAATATAAGAAAATAAATGATAATTAGAAGTAAGTATATAAGCTATATCTAAAGAGAAGTAGAAGCGAGTATATATAGATAGCTATCTACTTAGAGTATTTTGATATTTTCTAAATTTTCAAGATTTTATAAGTTAGAAACTACATCTAGATACTTTATATTCTAAGTAATAAAATTATAATAATAAAATGAGTTTCTCTTTTTAAATAATCATCTAGTTAATATATAAATCATCTCTACTATTCTCTATAACGAAGCTAAAGAAATATAGTTATAAAAAGTCTAAGTATATTCAAGCATTCTTATATATTAAGTTTAGATTTGAAGAATATATATATAATAATATAGCGAGTAGAAATTGTTTCAAGTTTATTCGAGTACTAATAAGTTTCATATGTCGTGTGTTTGTATTTATTACTCCATCTTATTCATAAGTTCGCATCCCAGCCACCGGAGATTTTTGACAGGTACCTAGTAGATACCTAGTGAATCAATCCCGTTTTAATTCTTGGTTTCCCAGCCTCGTTTGTTGCGCGCTTTAAGGAAAGTTTTTTTTCTTTTCTATTTCCACTACTACTACATACTCATTACCTGCATAATCCTTAAATGAAGCTTCTTTTCCATTTGTCAGTTTAATTTGTTGCGAATTCGTATGCATCACTGAATTACCTGTGATCTACGACCCGATAGCTCTTAAGCTCTCGAAAGCTGATCCTAGTACTGATATCGATTAGGTAGTCTCCACTCTGCTATCAATTTTAAATCGGGAGCTGGCTGGATAAGCCATTCTCGAAATGCGTCTCTCGGCGAAAATTTTAGGTCTCCCAACTTCGATTTTGATATTGTTGATTTCGCAGACACACTCGGTACAGGCGGTTGATATTGATAATAATCGATTACTGGCTCTGTGGCCTCGCGGTTGGATACATGTTAAAGATTGGGTTTATGGATCTGCGAGGAGGGAAAGAGATGAGGGGTTGGAGGGGAGTGATGTAGTGGTTGCGAAAAGTCCAGTTGGGATACTGAAAATGAGTGAGGATGAAGGAGAAAAATTCTATATGGAATATTGGAGATTTGGAAATGAGGATACGCACATGAGTTTGGGTGGGGGGGATGGGTTTCTGAGGGAGAGGGATTTGAAGGAGGAGGCTAGATCACTTGCGAATTCGTCGATTCCTATTCTTTTCCGAGCGCCATTTGCCTTACATACGGAAAATCATTCAGGATTCTTGGACTATGGAGAAATTCGAGCTCGTAAAAAGGATTCGGCTGCCGCGTTGGCTATACTGGAGAAAAGAGATTTTAAATGTCCTACGGGAACATCGAATTGTTCATCAATCGGATATCCAAATAGTTGTTGCGCAACTGATGAAACATGCTTTCAAATCACAGATACTGGACTGGGACCTGTAGGATGTTGTCCTAGTGGAGGAAATTGCGGAGGAACGATTACGAATTGCGCTTCGTCAAATACACCTTGTGCGGCTGATGTAGGAGGAGGTTGTTGTATACCAAATTATGTATGCGCTTCAATTGGATGTGTAATCAATCCATCACTTGTGGTGGTTGTTACTACAACCAAAACTTTTACTGTTGTTTCGTCGACTCCAACGACTACGATTCAAATTACTACGATCACTAGTACAAAATCTTCAAGCGTATCTAGTACTGTCTCTCAAAGTTCGACTCCGATTAGTACAACTACATCTGCTTCGGGAGTCGTCCCTGTTCGTCCTACAGGTGATTCTTCAACTACTACTACAACGGCCTCTTCAACAATCACTCAAGATACATGTCCCACGGGATTTTATGCCTGCTCAGCCCATTATCAAGGAGGATGTTGTAGAACGGGTAGAAATTGCGATACGACATCCTGTCCCGCAACATCATCAACGACAATAGTGAGTAGTGGAATTACAGTAGCGGTTCCGGTTGGATCGGCAGCATCGATCACTTCGGCAACAGGAGCGTGTGCAACGGGTTGGACGAGTTGCGCGGCGAGCTTGGGTGGTGATTGTTGTCCTAGTGGGTGGGCTTGTGGAACGGCTAGTTGTGAGAGTGTGAGTGTGCAGGCGACGGCTACGACTACGGAGGTGCTTCAGAAGGAGGTACCGGGGAGGGGGGAAAGAGCTAGGGGGTCGAGAGGAGGAGTGCTAGGTTTGGGGGTGCTGGTCGGGTGGCTGGTTTTGTGAGGGAGGGATTGTGATTGAGGGATGGATTTATGAGCTATGAATGATGATGATGACGATGGGTTATGAGCAATGAATATATGGAGCTTTAGACTTATTTGAAGGGAGGTATAATATTGGTTTGTATACTGAAATACAATCTAGGCATGCCCTGACCCTCATCAATTGGTGAACATATTACAACGGGCGATATCACGTGATCACGAAGCCGAGCTCTCGAAGTCAGCTTTGCGGTAATCGACTTGTTTATAGTGGACTTGTCGATTTATTTGTAGAGTATGAAGGTCTATATGACGGATCGGGGCTCCATTACAATGTAGAACTTTGTGCGTAAGATCAGTCTTTACTTTTATAGTATAGTTACGAGAATAGCAAACCGTTTGATATTATACTACCTTATCAACCACCTACTTGGAGTTTAGTCTATACCACCTCGAGATCAAAGCTCTCACTACTTCCATATAACCAAAAAGGCTGTTTCCTTGACAGAACAATCACGTATGTGTATTTCCAAGGCGGCGATATTCCTGCTTCGTGCGGTTGCCACGTTGGAGAATCTTCGCAGGTTACGTACGCCTCTTATGTACCCGGCATCGATCAAATACGGTAGATCTCCCCGACTGGAGGAAAGGCTGGAGGAAGGGTATAGGTAGAGGAGAATGAGAACATGGCGGGTTATGGTTATGTAAAGGCCTTGGTACCTCAAGCTATAATGTCCGATGCCATAATGTCCGATCCCGAATGGAACGATACATCCGCACTCTTCTGGACTAATTACTACATACGTATACCTTTACTGTATGAATTATATCGAGCAAAAGCTTAAATCCACGTTCCCATATGAAAGTGATACGAATCATGCGGGGGGGTTTCCCCAAGGGGGTTAAATTAATATTGTTCATATCTTCACCTCATCATGCACTGTTAATCAATTACAACTCTTTTCACCATATATTGAGAATTATTTCTCCTACCCAACCAGAATAGGTACATCAACCTAGATATGTCGACGCCAAGTAAATCGAGCCCTCTTTTGACTCTTCTAATTTGCAAAGCCTTGTCTGCATACGCCGATGGCTGCGTAATACCGGTAGGAACGTTTCTTGGCTGTCTATGAACAGTTTTTACCTACCATGAGAGAACCCCAGGGTAACAACATTTGCATTATATAAGGAAGGCGATGCATGTTCTATCGATGTTAACTTCAGGACAGCTAACTACAGCTGAGTCTTTCCTTCCCGCTTGCATCTTCTACTTGCCTTCACTGTTCATTCTTGTCTACTTCTTTGAATCCGTCAAATCAACAAAAGGCTCTTACAATGCTTTTCGGAATTTCTCTCTTTGCTTTGTGCACCCTAGTGCAATCACTTCCCTCGAAGTCGCACGCAGTTAGGCAAGTCGACGATGGTACTACTCAATCGATGGCCATTGTCGACGCTGCCAACACTCTCCTAGGCCTTCTCACCGCGGAGCAGAATGCATCACTGGTGTACCCTTACGAAGCAGCCGGGAACGCAACGCCCGTTTACTTCGGATCGGCGACCACTGGCGGCATTGCCGGTGAGCAGTTCGGTCAGTCGGTGTGGACCAACTACCCCGTCGGCATCGTTGATCGCGTTGGTTTGGCCCGCGACAACTTCACGGACACGCAAGAGAAAGCGGTTCTGAACCTGCTACGCGTCATGTTTAGTGAAGATGGTTACAACAAGGTTCAGGAGATCATGAACGCCGACCAAGTCGAGGAGGACCGTGGTGTGGACTATGAAGCTGGGTTGGGAAGTTACACGCTAGGCTTCTTCGGGGAGCCTAGTTTGACGTCTCTTTGGATGATTCAGTTCGGCGGACATCATCTTGGGATAAACATGGCCATGTACGGTAGTAAGGCCGTCATCGCTCCACTGTTGACCGGCTGCTTGCCAGCCATCAACAACGTCACGAAACGCGTGCTGGCGGCAGAGAATGACATCGCATTTTCTCTGGTTGGGTCTCTTGACGACAGCCTCTTCGCACAAGCCAACATTACTCATGATGTGAGCACCCTCACTCTTGGACCTGGTCACGATGGCGAAGAGTACATCACCGAAGGTGTCAGTGTGAGCCTTTTCACCGAAGCCCAGCAAGCATTGGTTGTCGACCTCGTGTCTGAATGGGCTGGCCTTCTCAACCCAGTCCACTACGCGCCCCGCTTGGCTGAGATCAAAGCTGGTCTGAACGAAACTTACTTTGCGTGGAGCGGTCCCACCACAAAGGAGGATAACCAGAACGGCGAGTCCTATTTCCGCATCAAGGGCCCAAATCTTTGGGTGGAATAGTAAGTAATATTTTACTCTCATCCTTTTCTCTGATTTCAAGTATATGAGAATATTCTCTTGGAGATTTCTCAAATCATCACTTCGTGGTCGGGTGTAGGAAGCTAACATTCAGCAGCGCACCACAGACCAATGATGAATACGGGGATTTGAGGCTTCATGCGCATACTATTTATCGAGACCAGTTGAGAGGTTATGGACGCACACGAGAAGAATAAGCGATTGTTTATAGGAGTTATCATTAAGTTCATGAATAAGTACTAATTATCTAACTCTTATTCTAACTATTATTCCAAGATTTTTCTTAGTCTTTTAAGTTAGAAATTAGATATAGTAATTTGTATTTATTTGAGTATTAATAAGATAATATCTATATTATTAAAAGAGGATTTTTTCTTTCTTATTTCGATAAAAGATTATTAGTAGGAGTATAGACTTACGGAATAGCTTATAAGTAAACAAAGTAGAAATTTATATCAAAAGATAACTATTAAATTTCAAGTATTTTAGTTTGTTTTTAATATATTATATTTATTTTAATACTTAATAATATCTAATATGATAGTGAATTTTATTGAGATGAAATTATTCTTTCTTTTTAAGTGTTTTGTAAGTTAGTAAGATTATATGTAGCTGCAGGTGGAGTACTAAATCACGACCCCACAGATAACTCAGCAGCGCAGTCTCAGCCTCAGCCTCAGGCTTACCTAGCCTCGGATATTTTTGTACGAGGGGAGGGGTTGATGATGAATAATTTATGTGACTGGTTGATTTACATGACATGACATGACATGATGATGACAGAAGTCTCAAGAGGATACAGATAAAGTTTAAATTTTGAGTTTGAGATTTAGAGATTTAGAGATTTGCATACGTGGGGCTGAAGATTAGGATTGAAATTAGAATTCTTTTGAGTTAACCTTTAGATACTTTTTGCTTCTTCCACTTACTTTGGGGGATTTGAAAGGTGGTTTGATGTGTTGAGCTGATAGAGGGATAAAAAGATTAAGAAGAAGAAGAAGAAGAAATAAGGAAAATACAACGAGAGAGGAGAAAATAACGCAAGGAAAGAAAAGGAAAGAAGTTCAGGGAAGAATCAGATTACTTCGATTACCTACTTCGAGGACTTGAACTCGTCGCATATCTTTCGAAACCGAATCTCGAAGACAAGGACAAAGACGAAGTCGAAGAAAAGAGCGAAAGAATTATACAAAGTAGAGAGATTTGTGTCGCGGACTTTGAAGAGGACTTGTGAGGGATTTGGAAGAAGTTGGGCGACATTGTACGTCTGTGTCTGCGATTGCGTCTACGCGGTTCTGAGACTCTAGTTTCTGCGACGAAGATTTATTGGGTGAGAGATACGGCGGAGGGTGTGATTTGGTGGGATGCGATACGATACGATACGCCACGATACGACACGACACGGTACTATATCATAGGATAGGAAGACGAGGACGTGATTCTAAATCAAAGACCTCGGGAATAAGGGAGATTATCGAATACCAGCAGACGGCATCAGATTCTTGAGAATCTGGAGAACCCTTGGACTTTCGAAGAGGAGATTGCGAGAATTTGTGAAGTGGGTTTATTACGATACCTATTTATCGTGAGAAGTGGTAGTAAAGACGAATAAGGAATAAGAGGAAGAAGGAAAAGAAGATATCTGCGAGCAACCTACATTCAAACCACTCTCTGCACAATCATCGAAATAAAATTACCTACCTACTCTATCCCAATATCCAGTCTCTCACGCATACGAAATTTCTTCCAAATAATTCATCGACCCCGCCATAACAATGGCTTCAACTTCTACCCCTCCAGTAGGCCGAACACAAACCCGGATTCAAGGACAAGCACAAACGGCTCCACAGAACCGCGGAAGTTTAACAATCACGCAATCACAATCGAATACAAATGCTCCTGTTTTACGTTTGAGAGGTGCACCAAATACAGAAAGTGAAAGTAGTGCGGATGGAGAAACGGGTTTAGGAAGAGGTAGGAGGATTCAGTGGGCGGAAGATGTGGTGGATAATGAAGGGCTGGGGAGGAAGAAGAGTAAAGGTATTTCAATTCATTTTCTGTTTCTCTTGGGATCTATAGGATTTGTGATTTGTGGATCTTGCTTGGAGGAAGAAATGGAAGAGGTGGAATCTAAATGGTTGATACCTTTTTTTTGGAATGGTGAACTAACGAGAATTTAATAGTTTGTTGTATATACCACGCTCCTCGAGCTATCGATGAGTCCTCGGATGAGAGTTCGAGTGATAGCGATGATAGTAGTAGTGATGATGATGATGGGAGTGCGAAACCTTCTGGAGGTGGAGGAAAAGGTGGTGGACATGATCATGATCACGATCATCAACATGGAGATGGATGTGGACATGGGAAAGGAAAGGGAAAGGGCAAAGAAAGAAAAAGAAGTCCCAATGCTTATGAGAGGCAGCCGAATTATAAGGGGAAGGGAAAGGGATGATTGTGAATGGGCTGGGAAGGGAAGCGGGGTTGAGATGAGGAAATGGCAGTTTATTGAAGTCATGATCTGGTCTGGTATCACTCGAGAATGGCATTTTCCTTCAATAGAATATCGGGTTTTGGGGGTTTTTATTTGCCTACTTACATAGCATGCATTGGGGTTCGATGTTCATATGTTTAAATGTTTAAGTGCATGGATCTTGGACTAGGGTATAGAGAGAAATACAGAAATGATAGATCTGGAAAGAACAGAACAGATGAAGAAATAAGGAAATGAGTCTATGTGTATACTGATACTTGGACAAAGTCCCAGTGTGAGTTGATGTGATGGATCGATGTGTGTCTAGGAATGCGAGCTTTATATCATCTAGGTGGGTAAGGAGATATTAGATAATATGAGGTTTGGGAACAAGAGGAAAGGGAAAAGGAAAAAGGGAAAAGGAAAAAGGGAAAATGAAAAGGGGATGGGGGAAGATGGGTACATAATTATGTATGGATATGATTTCGAGGAAGTAGAGGAAGAGGTGTAGAAAAGAATAGAATATGGTGTTATGTGAGGTGATGTGAATTTTGAATGATTAGAGTGTGAGTGTGAGTAGGCGAGGGGGCTTGAACGAGGAGGTTGAACGAGAGGCCGTGGGTTTGTGGATGATTTGTTTAGGGGTGATGAGAGTGGAGGGGTTGGAGGGGAAGCGAAGGTTGGGGAAGGAGGAAGGGGAGGGATTAGATTAGTGTTTGCATTCATATCTGTATTGGACTGAATTTAATCATTATCTTGAAGATTTTTTGGATGAGAAAATTGGGTGAGGTTGTGCAGCTACCTTTTTTATATAGGAATGAAATATGGAGAATGCGTAGTCTCTCTTATGGATAGCTATATGTATGGAGTGGATTGTAAAATTGTGTTATAAATGAATATATAGCTGTTATTTGTTCACACAATATGAAGACTTTGGAGAGGAAGGAGGAGGGGAGGAGGGGAAACAGGTCGAGAAGAGTCTACCTACCTACCTACCTAGTACTCACAATTCGAATTGTGCTAATTGATCTATAGGTACATTGATTGACACATGGTCATATGATTGTCTCTTGACTTTTGAACTCTTCTGATTATGTTATATATACATGGTCACATTGTCCTATACTATCTATCACATACTGGATATATCTCTGTTTCTTCTTCCACTACTTGAGATCATCATCATTATATTTTCCATCTTTCCCACTCACAGTCTTAGTTTTAAATATATACATGAATATCGACCTTCTTTCTATCAAATGTCCATCCGAATTAGTGTAGGGGTTAACATAACTCGCTTTCATTATCACATGATAAGGTACCGAGTAGCCCCGGGTTCGATTCCCGGATTCGGAATACTTGACTTTTGCTCTTTTGATTCCAGTTTATTATTGGAAGCTGGGTTTTTGTCCGGGGTAAAGAAGGGAGGAGTTTGGGCTGAGTGGTGTTTTGAGGTGAAAAGCGAGAGGGAAGTTTTGGTGGAGCGGGGTGTGTGGGTGGGTCGGTGGATTTTGTTTTGTGCTTGGATGGCTCGATGGCTCGAGGATGGCTTGTGGAGAGTGAGTGAGTGATCCACTGTTTGGTGGGAGGATATGAATGGAGTAAGGTTACAGATGCACTGGTATTAGTTGTTTGTATACGTATGTGTAATTCTTGGCAGAGAAGGAGAAAAAAGTATCGAGGTTCTCTCTATCCCCTCTCACCCTGGACGAAATAAACGGCACACCGAAAAAAACAGGATTATTTTCAAAATTATCTATTTAAATTAAAAATCAATATTTTGATTTTGAATTGAAAACATCTATTCACAATCTTATAAATTATAATACCTCTTCAATTTATTTATTTTATTTTATGTTTGCGAATTATTATCCAATTCTGGAATAATACTGTGGTTTTTTCGATATGCTATTTATTTCGTTCAGAGTGAGCCCCTAGAGTGTCTCGCGGGTGACAGGAAAAATGATATACACAAATTCGTAATTCTCATTTAATAGAATAATATCTCTTTTTCAATTAATTCAATATTACTACTTTTTATATTTATAATAAGAATAATATAGTAGTTTTATTAATTTAATATTAGAGATTAATTCTATGTAAGTTTTATAATTTTAAATGCAATATTCATAGAATAATTCATTACAGAGGATCAATTCACTTTTATTGATAAAGACTTTTAAATTTGCTATATTTAAAGCTTTAAGATTCAGTATAAGATAAAAAAATTAATATCGATATTATATAGAATATTGTTTTGAGTGATATAATTATATAATTGATATAAGGTAATATTATAATTCAATTCTTTTTAAAAATGAGTTATTTTGAAAAAAAAACTATTTTAAAAATTATTTTTTTGATTATTTTTTTATTATTCAATAAGCTATTCTTTCATTTTAATAATATTTTTAAATCTTTAAGGTATAATATTTATTAGTTTATTAATATATTCAATAATAATTTATTCCTAATCCTTATTTATAAACTCTTATATAGTTATATTGTTTTAATGGGTATGTCTCTAAACGATTTGTTTTAGGATTTGTGTTGGTTTGAGAGAGATACGGAAGACGTGGTTCCCACTATGTGTAGGCCCCTAAATGTCTATTTGTATTCAATCTAAGGAGCTAGCTAAATGAGGGAAATAGTAGGTCTTATATAGGCACTATTGAAAGAGCTAGTCTCTTTTGCTTTCGCCTAATATTTTTAATATAATTGTTATTGTATGGAAGTCATTCTTTTGAAGTGAATTCTTTTGAGTGAATTTCTTTGTTTATATATTCGAAACTCTTTTTTATGGCTTCAAATATAATAACAGAAAAGAAATTTGTAAAATTATAAATATCCTTTATTTATTGGTTAAAGTCTTTAACCTTTTATTAGCAGAACTAATCTTTTCTCCTAATCCTATTTTATTTATTTTATTGTTTTGATATTGATTTTATTTGTATTGATTAGATCAGTAAGAGTTTGATATGGCTTTTCTTTTGTTATTGTATTGGCCGGATTAGTTGGATTATTAATCTAAATCACTTTAATGATTTTTTTTTGCTTGTAGGATTGATGTAGTGTTATGATATTAATTATTAGTCTCTTTTCATTAGTTGTTTTCAGTTTTGTGAGTAGGTTGTATAGCGATTTGGAATCAGTATATAAAACTAATGGAATCTCCTTGTTGAGAATGGTGTTAACTGTAGAAGTGATTATTGTATTAATATCAAATTCCTGAATTAATCTGTATAGTTTAAATGCTAAAATATTGTATATAACTTTTTTGCATTTGATAGATGATTAATAAATAATATTAGTATTGTTGTGTTTATCTATCATTACGATTATATAATCTATTTGGAATGAATAATCCTTATTATTCGCAAAAGAAGTATTAGCAAAAACAATAATCTTAAATGAATCTAGGTCAAGTGGTATATATTTGAGTCCTCTAATAGAGTTTTCTTTTTGCTATTTAATATATTTATTCAATATTATAATATTATTTTTGCTAGATTAGATTGTCTATACTGCTATAGACAGATCGAAAGATGCTTTAGGTTGGTATATAGTTATAATGTATATTTCATAAGTTTATTGTACAATATATTGTTTATATATAAAAGCATACTTTCAAACTTTGCTATATATATTATGTATATCTATGGATTCAGTAAATACAAGCTACAAATTGTCGCATTGCTTTTCCTGATCGAAATGAATGTCATTGCCTTTAAGTATAAGAGTAATATTATTAAACTTCAATAAATGATTGTAAATAAGTTCCTCGTAATTCTTAGCCATAAAACCAATCTGCTTGAATTGCTCATCCTCAGCTTATATAAACGCACTATCCCCAATAATAAGTGTATTATCTGTTTGAAATTTTATAATACCGAATCCAATCCCTTTATTATTAATATACAATAGATAAAGGTTATACATGGATTGTTGTATCTTAAGCTTTTTATAGTAATGAGTATAATATATTCGGAATCAATGGTTTCCTGTCTCAGGAACATTATATAATGGTTTAACAATTAATAAAATTATACTGATTGGTAGATCCATCTTTTTTGAAATATGGGCATAAAAAGTGCAATGCAAGTTCGAAATGGATTAAATATACACCTGAGTGATATCTTGAATATATACTTCTATGCCTGTTTTTCGAATATTTGCAGCTAATGAGATTAGAATGCATTGATACGATTATTGGATTATTGGAGATTATGTTAATACAGATATCTTATTAGTATTATTATATACTTGAATAACTAATTTCGACTTGTGGAATTCAGTATTCGTTTTTTTATTTTTGATCTCATTAACAAATTGTAACTTGAAAATACATGTGCTAAAAGGAATATCTGAAAGTGGTATAACTTCGAATATACCTTTAGCTATCAATTCATTAATTTCCTTTTTTCTGAACTCTTTATATATAATGAAATCCTTGGGATTGATAGTAAAACATTTGAAATAGTAATCTTATATATAAGCTCGAATCTGAGGTATAACCATTTATAAAAAAGATATCAAAATAGGAATCTGATTATTCTTGAATAAATCCAAGAGGGGTTTCTCTGGGTTTATTGTATATATGATTGTTAAAGAAGGTAATATAATTTTGCCAGATTTTGGCAAAGTTACTTTGGAATCAATATTATAATCAAGTTTTTTAATCTCCTTAATATGTTTAGCTTTTAATCGCTTATAATACAGTTTTATTGATATAGATCTAAACCTTGTAGATTTATAAGGTAGATTAAGAGTACATATCTCCCCTTCCATACTAATAAATAAAAAAGATTCTTTCCACTTACTAATAACTATTCCATTGCCCTCCCTTCAAACCAAAATCTTGTTATTCAGCAATAAATCATGAAGTACAATTGTAGAGAGTTTATTGTATATATTCAAAGCCTCTTATATTTGTATAGAACTATATAATCTGCAAACCTCTATCATAGCTTTAGAGATTATGA